GGGTGAGCAAGCTAAGGAAACAGGGTGGGTGGAGGCTGCAGCAGGGCAGCTCCCTGGAGTGTTTACAGAGTGTGAGGAATGCTGGGAAAGGCCAGTGGGTCTCCTGAATCCTCTCTGGGTCCCTGGGACCCCTGTAGTTTGACTGCAAGGCCACTCCGGGACCAGATGGCCTGGGCTCAGCCTTCACTGGCTCCCATCTCATGCCCCTCCCATGGCTGGCCTTGCCCTTCCCGGTGTCTGGCACAGTGCCTAGGCCCTCGTAGATGCTCCGAAAGGGCTCCCTTCTTTCCTCTCTTCAGCTCCAGGGCACCCTTCGTGGTGACATGGTGGCAGAATGGAGCAGAGGCTGATAGGACAATGGGGGGTGAGGGGGGAGGCAATTAATGCATCCCACTGAGCCTCCCTGGACCAAATACCAGCCTCACAATGCTGATCTTGGCAGGGATCCCACCATCTACCAGCCCCCTGCAGGCCTCTGGGGTATGGCTAATTAAAGACATGGTTACTCATTTCATTCCCAAGTCACTATTTAAGGAAGTAGAACCATGCCATTCCTATAAGGCCTCTGACCCGATACTAGAGGCAAACAATGCCCGGGCTTGTCCAAGCGGCCATAAATGCAGAGCTGTTCAAAGGGCAATTGAGGGCCAGAAAGGGAGGACAGCACAGGCCACACAGCTGGACCAGCTGCTGGATGGTCCCTCCTTCCATTCTCCCCCACCCACCATCTCTCCCTCTGCCCCTCCCTCTGTCCCCTGCAGAATCTGGAGGAAAGCCCTCCCAGTTGCCCTGCAGTTAGCTCCCGGTTTTCTGAGAGTGCTCAGCATCACAGCTGACTCAGAAAGGCACCGGTGATCTCTGTGGATGCCAAGCAGAAGCAGCACTTGGGGGTTTTTCCAAGTTTTTGTGACTGTTGTTTTAGACTAAAGAAAAACATGGCTTTTGTATGTATGGGCACATGTGTGTTCAGGCAGGCAGAGGTCGAAGGAAGGCCACATGGTGTCTTGCTCTGGTACACCCCTCTTTATTCCTTCTACACAGGGTCTCTCTCCGAACCTGTGTCTGGACCGGTGGCTAACAAACCCCAGTGATGCTGTCTCTGCTCCCAGCAGCGCTGGGATTACAGGTGTACACAAAGCCGCCTGGCTTTTTCTGTGGATGCTGAGATCCAAACTCAGGTCTCAATGCTCAATGCTCTTACTTATCAACTCATCTGTTCAGCCCCAAACACAAACTTCAACCAACAAACTCTTGGCCAAGATCTGCTCTGGTGTCAGACCCGGTATTGAGAGGGAAATGGGCGGAGAATGCAAAGCTTGTGACCGACTGTCGTGGGTGCTCCTTAAAGAGCCTCCAGAGGCCACTCTCGGCTTCCTGCTCTATGATGGGGCCTCCCGCTTATTCAGGTCCTTGCTCCTGCAGCCATGGCCTTTGCCACACCCTCCCGGCTGTGATGGACTGAAACCTCTGAAACCACGAGCTAAAATAAACTTTCCTCCGCTGTCTCCCTTGGGTATTTTGGTCAGAGTTATGTACAAGTAACTAGTACAGAAAACAGCGGGAGGGTGTGGTGATTTCTGTGATCACCCCGAACACATACTGCTTAGGCTTTGGGAACTGGTGGGAAGGGATTTGGAGGTTTGGAGGCTTGGGATAGAAAAGTCCTAAAATGCTCTGAACCTAGCTGAATGGATGACTCTGGTGAGAGTGTGGAAGACCCAGATACAGACGCGGATGGCAAAGGGCAGGCCCCAGACAAGAACAGGGAGTCTATTGGGAATTAGATCTCAAGCCATTATGTTACATCTTGGCAAGCAATGTGTCTGTATTCCAGTATCTTTCAAATTTGGAGTGAAGCTGGGTTTTTGTTTGTTTGGTTTGGTTTTTCTGTGACAGGGTTTCTCTCTGTGGCCCTGGCTGTCCTGGGACTCACTTTGTGGACCAAGCTGACCTTGAACTCTGCCTCTGCCTCTGCCTCTGCCTCTGCCTCTGCCTCTGCCTCTGCCTCTGCCTCTGCCTCTGGAGGGCTGGAATTAAAGGCGTGTGCCATCACTGCCCAGCTTAGAAAACTGGTTTTTAAAATAGTGGGATAATTTATTTGGTTGAGAAAATTTCAGAACTTCCCAGCATTCAGGCTGACACAGGGTCACTGTTGGCTGCTTCCAGTCAGGTTCTGAGCAGAAAGATGTGAGGAAATATGCAGTTTGAGAAGGAAAAGAGCACAGACTTGTTTAAAGTTGGAGATGAAACACGTGTAGACAAAGCAGCTAATCTGCTAAAGAGACCGACATGGTTAAAGACGCTGCACCCGGAACTAGGAAACAGTGTGCAGAGAGAACGAAGGCTGGACGGTGTAAAGTACAAGCTCATTTGAAAGAATTTCCTTTAAAAGAGAGAACCAACCCCTCAGCACCTCCGCCTTCATGCCCCCCCCTCCCCGCCACCTGATCACTCATGTTCCCATCCCCACCTGCCCTCAATCCACTCACAAAAGCTCTTCTACATCCCATCCGGAGCCTGCATTGGACTGACCTAGGCATTCTGCATATATGTTACCATAGTGGGCTTGGTCCTCTTATGGGACTCCTAACAGTGGGAACAAGGGCTGTCTCTGACTCTTGACTGGCTTTGGGGATTCTACTACTCACACTGTTTCACCTCGCCCAGCCTTAATGCATGGGGTGATGCTTAGTCTTATTGCAACTTGATATGCCCTATCCTGGACGGTGACAGAAGATGATGGGATTAGGAGTGGGGTGGGGAAGAGGGACTGGGAGGGGAGGATGGGGGGAGGTTATAGCCTGGATGTAAAATATGTAGATGAATAAAAGAGAGAGAGAGAGTGAAAGACATGCCTTCCTAAACAGGTTCTTCAGACATAACAGAGCCGGTGCACATACGATCTCACAGAGACTGTGACAACACAAACTAGACCTGCACAGTTTCAAACCAGACAAAACCCTAGCCCTGAGAAGGGGAGGTAGACACAGGGTCCCACTCCTAACCAATCCTAACTAACAAGCTACATGCAATTGAACCTGTTGGGAAAGGGAGGATCCTTTTCCTTAAACGGTTAAATGGAGTGGCACACCGCTGTATCAACCACACTCGATGCCCACAAATAGTTGGTCATTGCTTGTGTGTGTGTGTTGCTGTTTTATTTGGTATTTTTGTCTTATTCAATTTCTTTTCTTTTTTGTTTATCTGTTTTGATTTTTCCTTTTGGTTTTCTTTTTTTAAAGAGAGAAATAACATAAAGTTGGGTGAGTAGGAAGATGGGGAAGATCTGGAAAGAGTTGGGAGAGAGGAAATAATGTGCTCAAAATATATGAATGGAAAAAAATTGAGGCCCTCCTAGAAACGCATTTTCTTTGGTTTAGCCAAGTGGACACTCAGAGTCTACACATGTCTGATACTTCACAAGTGGGCACTCAGGGGCTGCATGTGCCCAACACTGCACAAGAAGCTACAGGATTTAACGGTTGTCATACCGGGTTTTGGTTTTCCTTTGGTCCAATCTTTTTTGCTGTCCTCCTGTTCCTCCCATTTTAGAATGGCAATATTCACCCTATGCTATCTTATACCAGAAGTAGATTCTTTTGTTTTTGATTGAATGGCTCACAGATTAGAGTTTCTTTTGCACCTCAGAAGAGACAGTAGACTCTGGAACAATGTTAGACCTATTAGTTACAAAAAGTCTTAGAAAATCGACAAGATGCAGTCAGGCAGCAGTGGTGCACGCCTTTAAACCAGCACTCCAGAGGCAGAGGCAGGCAGATCTCTGTGAGTTCGAGGCCAGCCTGGTCTACAGAGTGTGTGCCAGGACAGCCAGGGCTACACAGAGAAACCCTGTCTTGAAAAAACCAAAAAAGATAGATAGATGGATGGATGGATGGATGGATGGATGGATGGATGGATGGATGAAAACAAGATGTAGCTTGTGTCACAAGATGCCCATGAGCCTTTGGATCCAAGGGTAGAATATTATGGTTTGACTTTGCAGTGTCCCACAGGCTCAGGCATTGACTGTGTACTCCCCATCGGGTGGTACTATTTTGGGAGCTGTAGATTGAAAGTGGAGCTGGGCTAGTAGAAGACAATCACTTAAGTCAGGCTTTAGAAGATAGCCCAGCCTCCAGCCCTGGTCAACTGTGATCTGAGCCTCCTCCTTCACACATTCCGGCTGCCATGAGCTCTGCAATGTCTGCCTAGCTCTTCTGAAACAAGGAGTTCCAATAAACTTTTCTCCTTAAGCTGTTTCTGTCAGGTCTTGTGGCCACACTGATATGAAAGTAGCTGATTGGAATAAAAGCTTGACGTGGATTTACTGTTACCTCATTTCCAATCAGTGTATATGCATCGGCCAAAGACAGCATGTTGGTCTCATGCTGGAGACCAAGGAAGAAACCATTAGGTGTGTCCTTCCACCACTACAAGGGGTTGTGAGGACATTTATGATGTTTATACTGCTTGTCAACATGACAGGATGTAGAATCCCCTTGAAGGCAGATCTCTGGGTGTATATATCTGTGAGGGACTATCTACTTGAGGTTAATGAGGTTGGAAGACCCACGGGGCCGGTACATTCCAAGGGCGGTCGTGCCACACTGAGTATTAGAGGAGAAAACCGGTTGAGCATTAATGTTGGCTCCTCCCTGGTTCCTGACCATGCGCACACAGCACCCAGTCAGCTGCCCTGTTGTTCCTCCACTACACCTCCCCACCACGATGGTCTGAACCCTCAAACTGGGAACCAAAGCAAACCCTCCCTTCCTTAAGCTGCAGGTTTGTTGTCACAGCAACAAGACAAGTAACTAATATGTCATTTAAAGATAGAAAACATCTTTCAATGTATCCATGTCCCGGAAAAACTAGAGTGGGTTTTATTATTATTACTATTATTATTACTTTATTTTGGTTTATTTCCATTTTAATAAGAATGCAACTGTACAAAATGAATTCTCTTTCTTCCGTAAAAGAATCCGTAAACCTCGGTGACATTTTAGATTAGATGGGGCTGCCAAGATGGCTCAGCAGGTGAAGGTACTTGTCACCAAGGCTAGTAGGCTAGGTTCTCTAAACCCACATGGTAGAAATAACCACAGGTGAGCCTTGGTGCATGTGTTGAAACCAATTTGTAACAGAAACAGCGATTTTTGTGCTTGTTGTTGCTAAATAACTTTAAAACTTATTTTCATTGAGCTAATCTGACAAAATAGCTTTAGTCCGAGAGCAGAGCTTGTTCCTTAATTGATTAATGAAAAATCATTTGGTCTCATAAAGAAGATCCTCTGGGAATGGGGGCAGTGCCATTAGTCTGAACAGAGCTTCGTGGGAGCTGAGAGGTAATGACCAGGCTTTGGGAGGGGAGCAAGCATGCTAAGCGGGGACTCACTCAGGGCTCTCCTGCTGGCTTCAGGTAGTGCTTGTGTGTCTGCCTTCCCCAGTGGGGAACTGGAAGATCCCATTTCCTTGCTTTGTGTCCTGGTGTGTGTCCTGGTGTGTGTCCTGGTGTGTGTCCTGGTGTGTGTCCTGGTGTGTGTGTGTGTGTGTGTGTGTGTGTGTGTGTGTGTGTGCCTGTGCATGCACATCCCACCCCTGCTTTGAGAAGACAGCATTTGATCTTCTTTCTTGAAGCCAAGATCAAACTGACCTCTTTGTTCCACATAGGAAAGGAAAACCATTGGAGTCAACTAGCTGTTCCCAGCCCCACCCCACCCCCAGCAAAGGAACCTAGTGCAGAACCTAGCACAGACCTCCCTTCCAAGGGATTCTAGAGGTGTGTGGGGTGCAAGTGTGGATCCCAGGCTCTGTTGTGGCTCCCAGGACTGAGCCCGTGGTCATACGTGTGTGTTACATGTATCTTCTCTACAAATGTCTCTCTGTATTGTCAAGGAAAAGGCATCAACTGAGATTTCCAGGGTCTCTGGGAAACTGTGATTAATTGTCTGGAGTTGTGTTCCAATGGCACCTTATATCAGCAGATGTTTAACTGACTGATTTGGAAGTCAAAATTAAGTTTATATTGATTCTTGACTGAAGGAGCCCTGGTAATGTTTCCTTACATCCAAGTTAGTAATCTGTAAAATGGGCTCCTTTCCCTATCGAGAAGGTTTCAAAATGTAAACGGGACAGTGTAGAGGAGGTAATTAAAATAATTGACAGAGTCAGGCCTAGTGGCTCATGCCAGCACTCCCAAGGTCAGCCTGGCTACACAGTGATTTTCAGGATAGGTGAGCTCTTCACAGTGTGAGACAGTTCTCAAACCTAACAAGGACAAAAACCCAATGTTTGACATAAAGTAAGGGCTCTAAATAGGAGATGCTGTTTATGCTGCTGTTGTTGAAGAGGAGTTTCAGAAAAGGGGACCAAAGTGGGTTTATCAGGAGGTCCTTTGACACATCCCTGTAAACGGATACTTTCCACGGCCATGCATGGCTTAAGTGGGATCAGTCACCTGGTGGTCAGATGTTTCCAAGTTCCTGGGGGTGAGACAGCTCTGCTGGGGAGCCCGGGAATGCAGCCTGATTTCCTGGTTCAAAAATCACACCTGTGAAATTCTAGCCAGGTGGGAAATTCTTCTACTTGAGCCTCCTGAAGCCATGGTTCATTATTAAGTTATTTTTCCAGGTCATTCTGAGGTCACCTCCTTAATGAATACCACAGTCAGGGAGGATAGCCACCCAGGTCAACTGCCCAGGCTTTGCCTAAAAACCCACAATAACATAGTAAGTGGTCTTTTGCTGACCATTTACTATGCACCAGACATCACGAATACAGCCCACGTGCCTTTATTTACTTAAGACCCTCTAACTGCTCTCTAAGGTCAGCTACAAAAAGCCAGCAGAAGACCAGAAACTCAGGCTTGGTAAAGTGCAGTCATCCATCCACCATCACAGCCAGCAGGTGGAAGAAACAGCCCTCCAGGTCTTTCTGAGTCTGGTACCTGTTACCATCAGCCTAGACCTCACAGAGACCCATTAGGACCGTAATTACTCTCCCCTGACACATGTGTTTACACTGCATCAGAGAACCAAAGGGGTTTAAGAATCTCATTTGTCTCACCTGCTAAGGAAGCAACACAGCCTGTGGCCACAAATCAGGTTCCCACCTGATGGATACCTCCATGCTAGCCAGGGGGTTCTCCCAGTCTCCCTCCTATCAGATTATCATTCACCCCAATGTCTGCTCAAGACACAGCATACTATCCCGGTTTGATTCCTCTGCTTTGGCCAAGTGGCCCCTTTTCTGAAACACCTGGTTGGAGCAAGAGTGCCACCTGGTGGAACATCTGGGTCACTGCCAACACTAATTCCTCCAGGCAGTAGTGGGCAGGCTTACAGGATGGAGTTTCTGAAGGCTGAATAGAGTTTCATGAAGGTTGAGCAGTGCTCGCTCATGCTTCCTGGGCATGTTCCTGGACAGCTCCAAGAACTCATTCATCAATGTCCAGGTCCTGATTTCACTGAAACAGACAGCTGTTGCTCAAACACAGGTCTGAGACTTTGAGAGTGTATCTTCCTCCAGTTCAAAGCCCAGGGCTGGGATAGAGAAGACAGAACCCAGAACCGTGCCAGCACAGGACTGTATTCTATCTTTCTTTAACATTTTACAATGTCGTTCATCATAACCTTTTGGTATTGACTTTAATGTTTTAAAAATATGGTTTCTCTTGTTTGCAGACTTTGGGGAAGTATCCCGTGTGTGTGTGCGTGTGTGTGTGTGTGTGTGTGTGTGTGTGTGTTTCTGTGTGTGTGTGTGTGTGTTTCTGTGTGTTTGCGTGTGTGTGCCAAAATGAAACACCTCCATCACCTTTTCCTAGTAAGGACCCCACCAAAGCTCTCTGGAAAAGCATTCTTCTGTCTCTTTGTAACGCCCCTGTTACAAACTAGCAATGCACAGACCTTGTGAGTCCCCAAACCCATCTTCACTCCTCCTGTCTGACACTGGCCTGGATGTACCTTCTCGTCAATACACCTCCTGTCTGCTTGATGCACCAGCTGAAGTCACCAGCGAGTACACAAGCCGGCACTCACTCGGGACTGATCTGGAAAAAGCACACAGTCATGGCATTTTGACAGATCACTGCTTCTCTGGCTGCCAGTGGCCTTGTCAAGATACAAGACACTTCTATTTTGGCATGTTCAGGACCACCAGGCCAAAGACTCCTGTCCACACTATGCCATAACCTAACATTAGCCACAGCAAACTGGAGTCTGTCCTGGGATGTCTCCAAAAGTCAGAGTTTTAATGTCCCTATACAGCCCTGGGCCTGCTGGACTGGATCCTCCTTGTTCTCCATCAGGCCAAGTAGGGAGCTACCAATCTAGAATGTATGAATGACTTGCAGTGGGAGGGTCCAGGAAAAGTTGAGATTTTATGTAACAAGTATTTGTATTTTCTGGGGAGATGATTTACCATGTCCTGACTACTGTCGAGGTAAGCTTTGATTTTGTAAGGCATGGTCTTTCCAAAATGAAAAGCTACCAGTGGCCAGCTTGGGCAGCCCTGACACAGACATAGGCATTTCCCAGCATGCAGAGTTGGGGGAATGGTGGAAGCTCTTCTGGATAAACGGACTCTACATCTACCCCCAACTCTTATTCATTTGTGAAATCCTTAGCACTTAGCACAGATGTTAAAATGCTTCAATGAATGAATAATTTAATTGCGATTGAAGGAACAAATATTTGTGATATTCTTTTCCTAAAAACATTCCTCTGCTCTTTCAGTCTATATAATATGAGCCTGGGCAGGGACGATTGAAAGACAGACCCCACTCCACCGGATGAGGAGTGAATCTCTGATAGTCACAGAATGTGGGTGGAACACAGTCCAGCTGGGTCCCCTGGGGGTAACACCCAGGTGGCTCTACCATTAGATTTGGAGAACACACAATGCCTACCTTGCAGTTAATGGCTACAGGCTGCCATGGGTCTTGCTTTTGCTGCTTTTTGTAACTCCCTGTTTGCCTCTACCCATACTCAGAGCACTCAGGAGAGAGACCACTGACTTAGGGGAATTCACAAGAGAGAGTGGCCATTGGCTGAAGACAGCTTACCCCCTACCCCAACCCCCTCCGCAGGACCTGGGAACCCCCACAGCTTTACTGTTGAAGACCCACACAGGAAACGAGTTGACTTAACTTACATCCACCTGGGATCAAGAGAGCTGGATTTCAGAAAGGCACCCTCCACGGAGTTCAACAGACAGCTTTATTCTGCATCTTTCTGCCTGAACAAAATTCATAAGAAATCTGATAAGATCTCGGGTAACCGATCCAACCTCTGCTTCTCCCAAACATACTTCGGCGGAAAGTACCCAGCAGGGTTATGCCCACCGTGGAGATGAAGCTACTGGGGAAGTGACCGAGGCCCCACAAGGCTGTGATTGTCACTGAAGCATCACACTTGCCCCAAACAGCAGAAGATACTCCCGTGTTTGTGGATGGGGTTTCTCACTCTGCTTTGGGTCCTCCAGGTGGTGTGGCCGGGCCTGGAAAGTTTCCCCACACTGAAGTCTCTTATCCCAAAGCCACTGAGCCGCCCGCAGCTGCTCACACCGCTTCTCAAGGATAGGGGTCAGCTTCCATCTATGAAGCCCAAGGACTCAAACAGCTGTGGGTAGGAGAAGTAGTTAGACCTACCATGGCCACATCTACACTGAATAGCCACAGGCTTCTTGCCTGTTTTCTCTAAAATATACAGAAGAGCAGCAGTTTACACAGCATTTACATTGCATTGAGTGTTATATAACATAATATGCGTTCAATGTTAGAGGTGATTTAAAACATACAGGAGAATATGTACAGGTCATTTCAAAAAGATACCTTACTTCATTTCTTTGTTTGCTTTTTTGTTTATTCATCTACTCCTCTGGCATGAGGGTCTCACAATGTTGTCCAAGCTGGTCTTATGACTCCTGGGCTCAAGAGATGTTCCTGCCACTGTCTTCCTGGAGCTGGGACTCCAGGCAGAAGCTTCTGCAGAGGATGTGAGGAGGCTGCGGATTTGCCATGCGGATCTGGCATTCACAGGGGTCCTGTTGCCAGGAGAGGAGCCTGCAGGAGCCTAGGTGTCTATCTGCAGTTCCATGAGAAGCAATCTGGCTGTCTCCTGCCCCCTCCTCTGGATTACAGGTCTCTCCCCTGAAGAACACAAAAGCCCAGAGAGAAGGAAATGAGGACAGCAGCCTGAATTCAGAGCCAGGCAAGGGAACTCACATTGCCACTTTTCCTTGGATGCTCAGGGACTTCTAGCAACTCCAGTTACAAAGGGGCCACCCAGCCCCGACCGATGGCTTTTTCTGTCTTGTGCTGGTTTTACCTGTGGATGGAAGCAGAGGCAGATACCCACAGCTAAACACTGAACTGAACTCCTGGAACCTAGTGACAGAAAGGGAGGACTGATGAGCAAAGGGGTCAAGACCATGCTGGTAAAACCCACGAAGACAGCTGACCGGATAAGGGGGAGCTCTTGGACCCCAGACTGATGACTGAGAGACCAGCAGGGGACTGATCCAGACCTCCTGAATGTAGTGCCAGTGAGGAGGCCTCAGCAATCTCTGGGGCCTTTGGTAGCAGATCAGCGTTTACCATACAAATACTTGTTGCATAAAATCTTAACTTTTCCTGGACCCTCCCCCCACCACTGCTAGTCATTCATACATCCTAGATTGGTAGCTCCCTACTTGCAAAGGTTCTCTCGCCAGGCCCTTTGTCTTATAGTCAATGCTTGTTATAAGCCTCCAGATAGACGCTGTCACTGGGAGGCTACAGGCTTCTTCGCTGGCAGAGCATCTTGGTGCTGGAGTTTGAACTTAAGGGGGGGGTCCTGACTTATAGAGCTGTACTCATCACTCAGGGTGCTCTGCTGTTTCAGAAAATGACCTAGGGAAACATTCAATGCCTGAGCTCATTAATAAGAGCATCTAAAAACAAGGCCAAAGCCAGCCCTGGGGGAGTCACACCAGCACATCAGGGTTGTCGGTACTATTCCTGGCAGAGCTTCAAATACTGCCCAAGCCAGGCCATCCCTCCTAATGCCTCCCACCGCCTCCTGACTATGCCCCGTGTTTCTCAGCCCCGTGCGTCACACATTGCTTTGTGTCCTCCGTCTTTCTAGGTGTTTTCGAGGTTATGTGCCACTGATAAACTCATCACAATTGTGTCCACTGCTGACTAAGTCTACACACCACTGTAAAATAGATCCTGGATCCCAGAATCCTTTCCAGCACAGACTTCCAGGTAGACACTGCCAGTCAATCAACCTTATTGTGACCTGATGCCTATTAGCATCATTAGCACAGCAAGTGACCCATGGCATTTCATCGCTGGATGCTTCTAACCTTCCTGCCTGGCTCACCTGGTGTTTCTAGGATGGGAAGGAAGCAAGGAAGGAAGGAAGGGAGGGAGGGAGGGAGGGAGGAAGGGAGGGAGGGAGGGAGGGAGAGAGACAGGAAGGGAGAGAGGGAGACAGGGAGGGAGAGAGGGAGACAGGGAGGGAGACAGGAAGGGAGGAAGGAAGGGAGGAAAGAAGGAAAGAAGGAAGGAGAAAGGGAGAGTAATTTTTGCTCTGCGGAGGAGCCTCAGTTGGGACCACACTTCACTCTGCTGACTCCATTCATTTCTGTATTGCCTTACAAAGCTCGGTCTTCGTGTGCCTGTTGCAGGAACTGGTGAGATCTGGGGGTCACTCTGAGGACACGACGGCCCCCCTACATCAGCACTTTGTGCCTCCCTCAATCTCATTTCCCCTCTAGCACGCCTGAGCTTGAAGCTGTCCTGTCCCCGAGCGCTTCCATCTCCTTTTTAAAGTTCGAGCTGACGAGAGAAGTTTCTCGTCCCACTTCCCCTTCTCCTCCCCCCCCCCCCTGTATAAAGAAGTGACTGTGGTGACTCTCTGTGGAGTGACTGATCCCTCTGTGGGGTTCGGGGAGCTATCACCTTCTTACCGTGTACCACACACACTGCTGCATTTCTGCCTCAGCCCAGGCTGCGGCTCTGGGTGGGGAAACATTGTTCAAAGCCTCTCCAGAAGGACTGGGTTTTGCTTCTAAGTCAGCTTGGCTATGGTGCATCTGGATGTCTTTTCTGGGCAAAAGAAAAGGAAATGAGCTATTGAGGAGAGCTCGAGGAGGAACCGAGTTGCACTTCCTAAGCAGCACATTAGCGGTCCCCAAACAAGGAAATCAAAAGCATTGGATGACATGCTGTCTAAACACACTCTGTTTCTTCAGAAAGAAAGAAAAAAATTCCAGGGGAAGAACACATTTTACAAAATGGCATATAATGGAAGATAGCTGGAGATTTTTAAGAAACCTGAAATGTAAGGGGGTTAGCCCAGACTTAGTTATTAATATCTTGGAACCAGCTGGGGAGTAAAATTAGGCTGTAAAATCATTGCACCATTTGCTATGCCAAGCTGGAAGTAACACGTTTCCCACATACTTCTCCAGGAGAAAAGTACCACACTGGGGCACAGGAGAGATTTTTTTCTTTCTCTGTCTTTGTCTTCTCATTTGTTGGGTTCATAGTTCCTTTCACTGAGCTCACAGATTGAAGGGTCAAAGAGCAGAGGTGAAGGCAGGGTCTTGGAGTCAGGCTGCTGGCTCTGTCCCCAGTGATGGTAACACTGGCCTCTCTGTGCCCTCATTCCCTCATCTGGAAAGTGAGCGTAGCGATGGTAACGACAGCTGGTCCACTGAGCATCCAGGTGGAACCCAGAGTTGCTCTCAGCCATGCCAGCCGCTGTTAGGTGATGTCCTTACAGTGAGGACTGCCGCCAGGTCCGCTTTAAAAACTGACAACCCCTGAAGGTAGCCTGATAGAGAAAACGTACAAATGACGGAAAGCGGATTGTCACCGCCAACCTTGTAGAAACAGATGCACGGGAGACAGACATGGACAGTCGCATGCCAACGGCTCAGGCAGCGTGGATAGCGTGGCAGTTTTCTTGATGTAGCTCTCCCATGGCTTTCCGGTTACCACGAGCGATCCGGAAAGCCATGGGAGAGCTACATCAAGAACCTCTCTGTGAAGAGATCTCAGGACCAGGTGGCCTCGTTTGTAAATTCTCCAGAAGATCTTTTTTAAAGAGTTAACACCCACTCACTCTTGTCTAACTGCAACAAGGCAGCAAGAGGAACACTTCCAAGTTCATTCTGTGAGGTCAGCCTTCCCTACTGCTGTTAGAACTCTGCCCTGGCTGCTCTAACACTGCACACCCCCTCACTCCAGCTGTTTTCTTCTTAGCTTTGACCCCCACCGCACAGGCTCCATCCACTCTGCCCTCCCATTAGCTTCCCAGTCCATCACGGCAGGGTCGTTCTGAGAGTTTCTTGGTAAATTCTCTGGGGTGTTACCTACCCCATAGTAAGACGCTCAGTGCGAGTTTATTGAGTAAGTGGGCACACCGTCTAATCATTCATTGTTGGAAGACTGCTGCACAAACGGGGGTGGGGGAGGGGGGCGGAAATGGCTGCCAGGAGAAAATGAGCTTCCAGAGGCAGACAGAGAAGCAACAAAGTGGCCGTGTCAGGAGCATAAAGGAAGTGATTTTCTTGAGAGCAAGCACACTCATTGTGTCAATCAATGCCAGAAAGTCAAGAACACGTATACGTATGTCCATTGGAACGTCCAGTGAATGAGGATTACTGGGCACATCGGAGGAGCCTCATGGGGACTTCGAAGGGCCGAATCGATGGGGCTGGTTTGGGGAATGAAAAGGGAGAGCCAGGCCCTCAGATAATAGGTCGATTTTCTTCTTTGCTGGGTACAGAGTGGCAATTTGGTGCGTGTGTGATGTGTGATGTTCCCATGGGGGGGGTGAGCGCTCCCTTCTCCTTAAACAGAATTTCTTTGTGCTGGGACCCTTTGAGATCCTCTCCTTTTGAATTTTGTTTTTCTAAAATTGTTTCAGTTCCCGCTACAGGACATTTTGCTGTATCCCCAACTTAACAGCGTGTTCCCCTCTGTGCGCTGGCTTCCCCCACCTTTCCTCCCTCATGCCTTTCCCAGCCCCCGTTTCCATTTCTGCTCCTGAGAAAGTAGCTCGTGTAGCTGCCACAGATGCGTATTGGCCCACAGCGCTTGCCTCTGTGTCTAGTGCTTCGCCGAGTACAACGGCCCATCCTACTTCACCTCACTGCCCCAGAGAGACAGGGTTCTAGTTTCATAGATTCGGGCAAATTTTTGAAGTCATTTCTTTCTCCCATAGAAGAGGAAGTACAGAGATGGGGAACATGCTAGAAAGACCGAGGGACAAGTGAGGATGATGTTTTCATGTGGTAGAGACTTCTGTAAGTCTGAGGGCCTGTGGAAAAATACAGCGGACGGGTGTGGCGGACTATCTAAGAGAGAGGCAGGGTGCTGGGGAGAAGCTGCATCCCAAATCGAAGGGCTGGTGTCTGCAAGGAAGAGCCTTCTGGCCTGCACATCAGGCTGCAGGCAGGAAAGTTGATGTGGAGAACTGATTCTCTTAGGCCTAGCCAGGATCCAGTCTCCTGGAACCCAGTCTGTTTACTGTGTAACTCCTCTTCTGACTCGGTTAAGGATGCTTAAAGGGGCACAGCTGAGGCTGAAGGGGTGGGGAGCAAAGCTGAGGAGTGGAAAATGCCTACTTCAATGCTGCCATGTTTGTGAAAGACACGCCCCATTGTGAGCGATGCTCTCCCTCTGGTGTGATGCTCCCCCTCTGGTGTGGTGCTCCCCCTCTGGTGTGGTGCTCTCCCTGTAGTGTGTGATCCCTCTTACAGTAAGAGCCTCTCCACAGCCTTTGGTATCCCTCCCTCAGTACCCTTCCTGTGAAGAGAATTACCCCACAGGAAAATTAGTGTGGATAAATGAACATGCACAGCCTTTCCCCTTTCCACTCTGTTTTCCTTTAAGGAAACAGATGGTACTCACAGGCTCAAATCTTCACTCCACACCTGCCTGTGGGGAGGGCAGGAATGGTCTGGCCTTGCCACGGTTCTATGGATAGGAATGGACAGCCTTAGGAAGTCCTTGGCCCACGTAGACCTCAAGTCCTCCAGTGTCTGCGCTATTGGGGCAAAGGCGATGTTTTGGTTTCTGTTTATCTGCCTTTCTCCTTTGTTCCCCACTCTCCTCTCTGTCATCTCACCACCACATCACCATGACCACCACCACCACACCACACCACACCACACCACCATGATGACCACCACCACCACACCATACCACTTCACCATGACCACCACCACCACACCATACCACATCACCATGACCACGACCACCACACCATACCACATCACCATGACCACCACCACCACACCATACCACATCACCATGACCACCACCACCACACCATACCACATCACCATGACCACGACCGCCACACCACACCAGCACAATAACCACCACCACCACACCATACCACCACACACCCCACCCCCACCATCACCCAGATGTGCTTCTCAAAAATCATCCCTTTTGAAATATAGCTCCCCAAACAAGAAACAACCATTTTCTGATATCATTTAGTAATGGGTCCGTTCTTCTCGAAGAGAACAACCATAGTGTAGGAATGAGAACCAGATGCTTTGATGGATGTGTCCAAGCCCCAGGATCTGCTCTCCCAATTCAGCTGGATCAAAGCACAAGCCAGGCGTTTCCTCGGCACTTTCCAGGATTCCACGGTTTTCTATCTGGAAACAGCCATCGCCACACACACCACTTCTAGCTTGAGAAAATGCCCCAGCATTGCCCCAATATGTGAAGAGTCAGCAGCGCAGCAATCATGCTGTGCAGGCAGGCGAGCATTCGCCAGGGCGCATTCCTGATGGGAGGAGAAATGCCTCAGCGAGAGATAGCAAAAGCAGGTGCTGGCACCCAGCACGTGCTCCCCCGGGCTCAGGCTTCAGCTCTGAAATCATTTTACTGTATTTTAGTTTTTAATGTGTTTCTCAAAAATCACCCCTTTTGAAATATAGCTCCCCCAACAAGAAACAACCACTTTCTGATATCATTTAGTAATGTATGTATTTTATGTATACAAGTGCTCTATTTGCATGTATTCCTGCACGACAGAAGAGGGCATCCGACAGAAAAGGGCATCCGACAGAAAAGGCCTTTAGATCCCCTTATAAATGGTTGTGAGCCGCCATGTAGCTGCTGGGAATTGAACTCAGGTCCTCTGAGAAAGCAGCCAGTACTCTTAACCACCCAGCTGTTTCTCTAGCCCCCATAATCATTTTACAAATGGTCACTATTACCTTCCCCCAGGTTTGCTTCAGTCCTTCAAATTGAAAAGTATTGGGCTCAACTGTGTACCCTCCCTCTCAGCAACTTCTGCTATCGGTAAGTTTACCAAGCCATCATCAGGCTTGGTAAACTTACAGGGTGAACACAAGGAATGTCCGTGAAATCGCTCTTACAGTTCAGCTAGCATGCTCTCCCAAGGATCGGAGGGATGGAGAGCGTTCAAAGTGTGTGGGGAGCATTGGAGTCTGTGGGAAGCTAAAAAAGATCTGGGGCCAGAAAGTGGGTGGGGCTGCCGAGCCTGGAGCGTGTGTGGTCCTCACACTGCCCTGCCTACCGTGAATGACCTCCTGCCACCTGACATTATCCTGGCAGTTGTTTGAAGTGCCCAGAGGGAGTCTCTGGCCCTGTTCTCTCCAGGAAGCAAGCATTCCCACCCCACCCCCAGTCCTACAAAGGTCCACAGGAGCAAATGCCCCAAAGGAAGGTGGGGTGCTGAAAACCAGTGGGACTGGGGTGAAGGGTTACAGCCTGACAGATGCCATCATCCTGGGCTCTATGGGGGCTTTGGGTTGTGTAGGCATCAATCAGTGTCTTGATTCACCCAGGACAGCTTACTGCAGTGAGCCTGGCAGTCTGGCTGCTCTCATCCCCTCCGCCTTCATTCTGTTCGTATTGTTGAGGCCCTTCTGAACTGACAGTAGGGACACGCTGCAAACCAAACTCACCCTTGACCTTCATGGAGTGCACAGCCGTGTCAATACATGTGGCTTGAAAATAGCCACCAGGCTCACCCCAGTAGCTCCGGGCCCATGGGGGATGTAAAAGAATTACATCCAATACCTAGGCTTGATCTTTGGGA